TTTGGGGAGTCGGCCACCGAAGGAGCCTGGCCTTCGGAGCTCATACATCGGTGGGAAAATGGACCAAGCAATAGTTGCTCAGAACCAAGGAATGGGGGTGAGAGCCAAACAGAAAGTGGCAAAGGGTGCTGGGACCGCAGGAGGGGCCCCCCCCTTCCACGGGGTCTCAGAGTAAGGTGTGCAGGCAGAGGTGGGTTGAGACTTGCAGGACGTGTGGACCGGAGCACACCAGCTGGAGAAGGGCTCAGGAGGGAACAGGCTGTCTGGGGAAGGGGACTGTCCGGCCGGGTGGGCCAAGGAGGGTGTGAGGCCAGGAGCGGCTCTGGAGAGAAGTGGACGGCATGCCTTAGCCATGTCAGGACTGTGAGCTTCCCTCGCAGGGCTGGGGAGGCTGCCCCGAATCACAGGACCGTGGCTGCTGGCCCGAGATTGCGGGTGGGGACGGACGCCAGAGCGGAAGTGAGGAGGCCTCTGGAGGGTCCATGCGGCAGGGGTGAGGGGCGGGCAGCAGGGGTGGGGGACAGAGTGGGTGGGAGAAATGACAGAGCTCTCTTGGACTGGCTGTGGAGGGGGAAGGAGTGAGAAGAAGAATGATGTGCACGGCAGGGGGAGGGCCAAGTGGGCCACGCGGACATCGGGCTCTACCCTGCGAGCCAGGGGTCCTTTGGAAGCCCTGACAGGGCCTGTCGAGGGGCAGTCGGACAGTGAACCTGAGCCACATGGAGAGTTGGGGCTGGGGAGAGGAAGCTGGGATCCTCGCCACACAGTGGTTGTAGGGCCGCGACGCTGCATGAGGTCACTAAGAAAGGAGCAGGACGAGGACCCCGCTGGGAGGCGCGGAGGAAGGGGAGTCTCTGTGTGCTCAGAGGAAAACCAGGACAGAGGGGCTGCCGTGGAGAGGGAGCGTGTTTTAAGCAGATAAACTGCCCACTAGCTTCACTCCGGTCATTCTGTCGGAAAAATACCAGAGTTCGGTTTGGTTTGAGGCCTGGTCCGGCGGTGCGCGGGTGTTAGAGGAGCGGGACTCCTTCCTGTCCGGAGGGCACCTCACTCCTCTCAGGGGCCCTGCGGTGGCTGTTTCCACCTGCGCGTGAGGAACTTGAGGCATCAAAAGGAAGCGATGGGATCACCTAGTCCACTGGGCTTTCCTGAATCTTCTGGAATGTCTGAGACTCTTACGTACCCTCAGCAGCAGCCACCCCCATAGATCTCCCTCTCCCAGGCCTTCAGTACCAGACTGGGCCTCCTGGAATTCAGGGGTGTGGGGAGGAGACTCATCTTCAAGGGTCCTGCTGCCTTTGTGGGCTTCAGCTCTAGTATGTTCACAGAAGTCCCCTCGCCCAGGGAGGAGCCTCTAGACAGCCTGTTGTATGCCCCCCAACCTGTAAGACCAGACCTGAGTGGCAAACCCCAGGGAAACATGCAAGCAGCCCAGGAAGACAAAGGCCAGGTTGCTGCACAACCGTCCAGAATCCGGAGTCCTGGCGGGTCTGCCGGGCTGCATCTCAGCTGGGTCCCCCTGAGCAGGGCGTGGGCGAGCGCCTCCCCCCGCCCCAACCCCGTGCACAGCCAGCAGAGCAGCTCTGGGCCAGGATCTGACTCTGTTAGGAGCACTTCCTGAAGCTCATGCACTGGGACTCTCTGGCTAATATATTTTTCTCCCGAAAACACCCAATAAAATGTACCACTAGGGCACCTGGGTGGCTCAGTGGGTTAAAGGCTCCGCCTTCGGCTCAGGTCATGATCCCAGGGTCCTGGGATCGAGCCCCACATCGGGCTCTCTGCTCAGCAGGGAGCCTGCTTCCTCCTCTCTCTCTCTGCCTGCCTCTCTGCCTACTTGTGATCTCTGTCAAATAAATAAATAAAATCTTTTTTTTTAAAAAACATACCACTAATGAATAAAATCACCACGTTGCCAAGAGGCAATGTGTGCCCCAAATTTCCAAAAACACTTGAATCACTTCCATTTAATTTATCTTAAAACCAGTCCCAGCCAGGAAGTCATCCCTTAAAATTCAGCTCGGGAGTTTCAGCTGCAGGATCCCCAGGCCCGAGGGTGGAATCTTTGCTGGAGACACAGACCATGATGCCGTCTGCTCCTGTGGTTCTTAATCCCAAGCCCAGACTCCTCGAACCCTCACGGGCTGGCACCTTCTTCCTAACTGTATCAAGGCCACAGAGCAGCCACAGGCCCAGAGCAAAGCCTCCACGTTGGGCACATTCCCTGATTCAACAGGAACAGTGATGGATCTAGACCCCCTAGATCAGTGTTTACAGATGTGGGGTACACAGGCCACTGGATCTGTGAACCCCTGAAATGCAGGGTTGATGAGCCTTGGGTAGTTTTGAAGCTGGGTGTGGGCTATCCACAGCCTTCATCAAATTCTCCAAGAGGCCTGAGACCCAAGAAAGGGTAAGGATCAGCCTGCCTCTTGGCTTCCTAGGAACGCTTTTTCGGAAAAGACCCCTCTGCCCTTCGTAGACCCAGAAACGAGAAGCCAGATGTCGGTGGCACACAAGCTGGGAAGCATGAGGATGGGGAGTCCCGAGACAGCCTAATTCAATTCTACAAACACGAAATGAGCACTGGTCATTGCCAGACACTGTCCCTGTTGTGAGGGAGTTCAAGGAGGCAGAGGGCCACAGACTGGGAAGACACAAATCCCATCCTGCCGTGGTGGACCTGTGGAGGGTGAGGTATCAGGGAAGACTTCCTGGAGGAGGAGGCGATCCTTGTGCCTGTCCTCAGAGACCGAATGGGAGCTGGTTATGCAGAAATGCAGCTAGGCCCTGAAGAAGGAACAGAGCTTCCTGAAACTCTGGGTGCACAGTGAAGGTGGCCCTTTGCTCCCCAAGCTCCACCACCTTGCCCCACCCCCCACAGCCTCCCCAAGGACCCCAGCTGAGCTCAGTGAGGCCATGGGGCAGGAAGCTGCAGCCCTTTCATCTCCCAAGCAGCTGACATCCTGGCTTCTTTCCCGTGTGCTCCTGCACAGGGGCTGGGATCAGATGAACCCCGGGGGCTCTGGGGGGCCTGCAGCCCTTTGATCCTTTCTCGTCTTGCTCAGCAGCTAGTGCTGCCACCTGGCCAGGCCCAGGCAGGAACCCCCAGCCCAGACGCAACCCTGGGGAGGCCAGTGCATCTGTAGGAGGAACACAAGGCAGGGACTTGGAAGTACCACCCATTCCTCCTGACTCCCCATCCATGCGATGCGCAGAACAGACCTACCTCCCTAGCTCTGGGGCATATTGCAAGGATAAAGTGAAATGCAAGGTGGGAAAGCATTTAGACCAAGCGAAAAAGAGGCCACCAGATGTCTTGGCAGGCCTGGAATTTGGAGTCCGAACCCTGGCTTCCAGCCCAGGCTCTGTCCCCGGCCACACAGCTTTGCCGCAGTCCACTGGCTGCAGACGGAGGGCGCTCTCCCCGGCCCTGCCTGGCCCTGCCCAGCCCAGCTGGCCTCCCCAGCCCACTCGGGCACCGCACGAGATAATGGCTGGAAAGTGCCCCAAGAAGAATAACGTACTGTGCCAATGTCAGGGATTATCAGCGTTATGAAGGAGCGTGATTGCCGCGATCCAGAAAAGCTGCCATTAACGAGGAGGGCCCTGTTCGTGTTGATTTAATTTCCTGGTTAACTGAGCGTTGGCAAGAAAAAAAAAACTCCGTGTTTCAACCCTTATTGGAAATCTTTTTAAATTATGCCAGTCTACTTTCTCGTACCGGTCATGGCGTACTCTTGGGTCTTTATTTATGAATGCACTGATTGATTCACATAATCATCTATGACTCTCGCTCTGACCACATCCCAAAAGGCAACAGTAGGCCTGGCCTCCTCCATGCTGGAGGTCCTCGTGCCCTCCCAGGACTTGCCGGCAGGTGTCACTCAAAAAAAGCAGAGGACACAGGTCTAGGGGAAAGCCTGGGGTAGAGCCTTCTAAGTGCCTGTATCCCCAGATCCCTGGGGCTTATTAATATAATGCTAGAGATTTCTTTATGGTTTAAGCGATGCCTTCTGCTTGGGGTAGAAGGTGTTTCTGGACTTACCCAGATATACTCTAAAGTGTTATGATTGGGTTTTTGGTTTTTGGTTTTTTTTTTGTTTTTAACAAACTTGTCAGGCCTGATGTGGCCAAGTAAATGGCCTTGGGTTCTGGAGGGCCACAGAAAGCTGTGGAAGGCACATGGTCTCTGCAGGGAAGCTCCTGCCCCACCAGATCCCCTTGGGAGGTCTCTAGCAGAGCTGATGGTGGGCAGAAAGGCTTGGAGGGCGTTTGGAATTGATTCTCATGGGAAGAGGTTGACCCATTTCCATAGAACCATCTGGGGACAAAATGAGGTCTTCACACAGAGCGTTCTTTCTGTTCTAAAGGCTACCCAGGGGGAGTGTCCAGAGGCTCTGAGTGACAGCCGCCTCCTGGGTGCTGCTCAGAAGTAACACGCTAATGGGGCTGCTCGTCCAGGGAGAAGCCCACAGGCTAAAGGGCAGGGGGGCTGTCCAGCCCTTAGAGGCGGGGCACCTCCATTTCTGGGGAGGAAGGGGGTGATGATGGCTGTGTGTGGGGCGTCCAGCAAGCTGTGGTGAGGAAATGCTCAGACCAGGGGCCAGAGCTCCTGGGCAGCCATCGGCATAAAGTCCCGGATGCTAGACCAGTGATATGTCCGGCCTCATGTGTGGTCCTTTATGCACCAATCAGCCCTTGTGGTTTGCAGCTGGGGGTGATTTTGTCCCTCGGGGGACAGTGGGTAATGGCTGGAGACACTCCTGGTTGTCACACCTGGGGAGGGGGCAGGGTTTACTAGCTTCCCGTGGGTGGAAACCAGTGTCCAGGGCAGCCCCGCACCAGAGAAGGATCTCGTTCCAGATGTCAGCAGTGCCAAGGATGAGAAAGCCTGGTGTGGGGATGCTTGGCCTATCTGCACCTGCTGGGGTGGAGAAGTCCCCTTGGATGGGCTCCATGCCTCCCTCATGCTGCCCATCTCTGTACTCTCCCTGCAGAACCCCGACATCGTCCTGGTGCACTACCTGAATGTCCCAGCCATTGAGGACTGCGGGAAGCCCTGCGGCCCCATCCTCTGCTCCATCAACACTGACAAGAAGGAGTGGGCGAAATGGACAAAAGAGGAGCTCATCGGGCAGCTGAAACCCATGTGTGAGTACTGAGCAGCCCCGGTCCAGCCGGCCCGGGGTCCAGCACTGGAAGCCAGGCCAGCACCACACGGGTGGGTCAGAGGCCCTCTGTGGTCATCCTGCTCAGACACTAGTGACCACAGCTTTCCTAAGGGTCACCCCCCCCACCCTACTCTCGCTTGACTCTCTGAGCCCCCTACACAGTAGCCAGGGCCCAGAACATCGGGGACTGCGGGTCCACATTGCAGATGGCAACGGTGAGGCTCAGAGGCACGAGGCCATGTCCGTGAGGAGCAGAACCAAGGGAGCCAGGCACTGCTGTCTTGTGGGCCACAGACGGGCGAGCAGCTGCGGTCCGGGGACAGTGAGGCCTAGAGACAGAGGAGGGGCTGGCCAGAACTGGCCTGCCTCCAGCCCCCAGCCCATCTGCTCCCGGACATGGGGCTGGCTCCACCGGAGGCTCCCAGACTGGGTGGCATGCTGATGACCAGAATGAGCTGGATTTCGTTTTTCCAGCAAAGTGATGTTCTCTGAAGCATCTGACAGGTGCAGCTCTCTGAATGCAGAACGCCCGGGGAGTCTGGAGAGCTGGGCACGGCTTGTGCCTCATTTCCACGGGCAGCCGCTGGGGGCTCTTGGTGGCCTCTCCTTGCCGCCTGGACTCAGGAAGAACAGACACGGGTCTGCCAGACCCGAGAAGACCCAGACAGTGCGCAGGGCCCAGGGTTCCAGAACATTCTTCTCTGAGGCTCAGTGAAAAGACATGTCATCATACAGGACCTAAGAGAAGGGGTCCCCGGGTCCCTTGGAGCCCGTGCCGCCCTTGGAAGCAGGGCTGCAGGAAAGAGGCTGATGGACATATATACAGAGAGCAGCTGAAATGTCTTTTCCTGGGGGACCATGAGCGTCCTGTTGCTGGGAGTATCCAAGCTGAGGCCTGATGGTCCCCACAGTGACCAGCTCATCCTCAGAGGTCCTCAGAGCTCAGACTGGGGCATTACCCCCCATTCTCAAGGTTGGGGTTAGGGACAGGAAGGGCAGAGGGGTCTGGGTGGGAAGGGAGACCCCAATGGGCCAAGGCCCAGCCACCCAGGGGCCGGGCCCCGAGACTGGGCCATCCTCCTGAGCCAGGAGCTGGGGGGGTACCCCCAGTGATCTTGGCCTTGATGCCCTGGCTCCAGGAATCTAGAACAAGGAGGCCCAGGGGCCTTCTAGGCTCAGGGTATGTCCCATGGAATCCTTCTTAACTACAGATATGACACACCCATCTTGTTTAAACCTCCTGCTGTCCCCAGGGTGGGTCACTCTCCCCTGTCCTCGTCTGCATATCCCATGCCTCTGCCCTCAGCAGACACATCAGCTCTTCTATAGGCCCTGCCCCACTTCAGGCTTCACACGGCCCCCCACCCCCCGCCTAGCTGCCTCAGGACCTCCAGGGAGACCCCAGACTGAAGCTAGCCTCCGTGCTTCACTAGAGAGGCCCCCCCCACCTCTTCAGTACTCTGCAGAGCAACCAGAAACTGGGAAGACCCTGCAGCTAACCCCCAGGAAACTTCCCTGTGCTCCGCCGTCCCCTGGGCCCTGTACAGTGCTGGGCACATGCACGCTAGTCAGACGGTTGAGTGTAAAGTGTCTGGGCCCAGCTTTGGTCCACTCCCCACAGGGGTCTGAGCGATGGTTTCAGTAAAAGTGGGCACCAATGTCACGTGAGCAGGGCAGGGCAGCCCAAGCCAGGGAGCCAGGAGGCGGGCACATCCCTGTTCTGTGACCGCTTCACTGTGTGACCTCAGGCCAGTCACTCACCCTCTGCTCTAAGTCCCCTTCTGTAAGGTGAAGGAAAGAATCCAGAGTCTGTACCAAGATCCGTAGCCCCCAGCCGGCCCCTCCAGGCCCAGCTCCGCAGAGCCAGGTCCGAAGCACTGGGGCCACGATTTCACCCCACTTCCAGGAGGTTCTGGAGACCATGTTAGCCAGAGTTTAGTCCGAAGGCAAAGATGCCTTTTGTGGTGTCCACATGGTCCGAGCCTTGGGCCTGGGTCCTCCCCAGCATACACAGAGGGCCCTTGGCCTAGAAGCCACCCATGGCCACTGTCCTCCTTCTTGTATTCTGTCTGCTCCCTTTTCCTTCCCTCCTTGCCTCTACCTCCCACAATACACCACCCCCCACCCGCCACATGGGAGCCTCCCCATGACAGACAGGAACACCTAGGGGCAAGGGGATTAAGCTCTGTGAAATCTGGGGGTGCCATCCAGACCCGAGTCAGCCTCTGACGCTTAATTGGAGGAAAGTCTGCAATGCATCATGAAAATCATGTGAAACAACCACCAACTCCCCGAAAATCTAATAACAACTTGGCGCGCCCGTGTATCTGGGGGCGGGGAGCGAGCCGCACGGGGTTCCTGAGCGTGCACGTGTGCGCGTGGCGCTGGTTAGAGACGCGCGGCCTGGAAGTCAGGCCCCAGTGCAAGCGTCACGCACGACAAGCCTTGGCACACGCGCAGGGCACCAGCCAACCGCGTTGGGGGAAGGCAGAGGTGCGCGGGGAGCCGAGAAGGCGTCAGATTGGGCTCCAAAATCCGGCGTGCCGCCCAACGCTGGAGCCAAACACATCAGCTTCATCACATTTTCACATAAATCACATTCCTTCAAAGACTTCACAGCTTGATTTCCTGATGTTTCCAAATTTCTGTGCCCTACAGCAGAGTTGTCAGTAGTTCAATCACAATGTTGTGCTTATCGGTGGTGAAGGGAAACTCGGGTGCACAGCCCTTGCCTCACCTGTTGCAAGATGGTGGCGGGGGGGCCGCGGATCCTTGTTCTTGAGCCCGGGGAGTCTCACAAATGCCGGCTTCTAAGCCATACTGACTTTGAGAACCTACCTTGATGCTCGCAATTGTGCCGTTGGGTCTCACGGGGGCTTCCCTTCAATCTGCCGTCTGAGGGATGCTTCTTACAAAATTAAATAAAGAAAGAAAGAAAGACAGGGAAAAATTAAGATATCTAGTAGGAATTCCCAGTGTGTTTCCAAAGATGCTTCTTACCTTTTGCAAACCCTTCTGTGGCAGTTAGAATACCAGGCAGGTGCGGCAGAGACCAAAACAACAGTGACTCTCATCAAAGAGAATGTTTCACGCTCACACAGCAGTTTGGGTTGACATGGCAGCCGCAGAGCGTTGGGGATCAGCCCCCTGGGCTCCTTGTAGTTGGCGACTCTGCCATCCCTGGGGTGCCACTGTCTTGTCTGTGGTACAGCTCCTACCATTGTAACTGCATTCCAGCCAGTGGGAAGCAGGGAAGACAAGTGGAAGGCAAGCTGCTTCCTTTCAAGAACAGGACCCGGAGGTTGTACACAACACTTCCACTCCTATGTTATGGGCCAGAATTTGGTAATATGGTTACCCTTGTTTGCAAAGGAGTCTGGGAAGTGTAGTCTCATGCTAAGCACTGCCATCTTAACACACTTGAGGGAATAAGGTTCTGCGTGTGAGTCATCCAGAGCCGAATGGAACCGAGTTCAGCCTGGGGTGTCCCTGTGGGGTCTCAACTGAGAATCACTTGCCTTAGGTCAAGGCCTGAGAATGATTGTCTCAGGCCCCATCTGAGGGTTGGAGTTTAGAGAATTCAACTGAATGTGATCTACAGCTCAGTATGTCTCATCCTGGAAATTCTGGGGTCTGTTCCAGTGCAGCTGGTCTGAGAGCCCCAGCTTTGGACCATCAAACCACCACAGTGGGAGCAAGGGACTGGGCAGGTGGGATCCTATCATCCCGGGTCAACTTTGAGTGGAGAAGAATGCCAGGAAGCTCTGTGCTGCAGTGCCGCTGCTGGGAAATGTGCTCAGTGATTCTTGGCTGCCCAGAACCACAGTGGCTCTGAACCACTGGGCTCTGGACCTTCCACTCTTGGCTCTACTGGGGCCTGCAGGAAGTCAGATGGGGCCCTTGGAGGGATCCCCTCCTCTGAGCATCCGTGGCTTTCTGCCTGGCCCCATTCCTTGGCAGCCTGGGAGGGGCCAGGCATGCCAGCCACTTCCCAGCTAGCAGGAGACAAGAGGATGCCATCCACAGTGAGAGATGAGGGCATGAATTTTTTTTTTTAAAGATTTTATTTATTTATTTGACAGAGAGAGATCACAAGTAGACAGAGAAGCAGGCAGAGAGAGAGGGAAGCAGGCTCCCTGCTGAGCAGAGAGCCCAATGCGGGACTCGATCCCAGGACCCTGAGATCATGACCTGAGCCGAAGGCAGCGGCTTAACCCACTGACCCACCCAGGTGCCCAAGGGCATGAATTTTAAGCTGTGTTCACAGCCCTTCCCGGAAAGGGATCGTGCCCCAGTTGTACCTCCCAGGGGATCCTCTTGGAGCACGCTGGCTGGCCAGGAGGCTCTGCATTGCCAAGTGAGCTCAGGCCTTCCTGCAAACCTCCGCAGCCCCAGAGATCACCATGCATCACCCCAGAGATGCCCTAGAGGTGCCCCTCCTTGGCCCAAGAGATCACCCCAGAGATCAAACCCCTCTGGGCTTGGCTCTACTCGGACTGCCTTTCCAGGTCCTGAGACCTGTGGGTGGGAAAACAGGAGGGCTGGCTGGGGAGCCTGCCTGGTCCCCGGGCCTGCAACCACACATGTAGTTAAGTCCAGGGTTCCTGGAGACAGGGAACCCTACGCTGCTGGAAGTAGCTGATGTGGCAGAGAGGCTGGAGGGGAGCGGGCTCAGCAGCAGGCACACATGTCTCCCAGGAGCTCCTCAGCCACCCACACTTGAAGCCAAGGGAACCCTCTGTGTCCAGAGCCCCCAGCCCGTTCTCCACCTGTCTGAGCTGCCCAGACCGCACAGCACCCAAGGCTGGCTTGATATAGTCAGTGCGTCTGTTGTTGTCTCATAATTTTCCAGACAAAGACCAAAGATCCAGTAAGGGGGCGGTGTTTATTTGTTTTGCTTTTTTGCTTAGATTGTAATCCTGGTGATTATAGAATATCAAGAAGTAAAATCAACAAAGGCTTTCCTTTCTGGCCCCGCAC